ATTTTTCTTCTACTTGGTAGCCATCTTTTTAATAAATGATGGCAACCGTCATGGTTTTTTCCCTTAGTTGGGCATCACACATTCCATTAATTATCTGTTGTATCCTCCTGTTTCAGTAACAAATATTCAGGATTTTTAGGTACTTTCATATGGTTTTTTGTTTCTAATTCTTATTCTGCTTTTAGGAAGATATTCCTGTTTAAATTCAAGGTTTTAAGATAAAATAAAAAGAATGTACAGTAAGAAGTCAATCCAGAGTACTTTTTTATATCAATTTTTATTTCCTGCTCCTTTTTTAAAAAGGGAGATAATAAACTTATGTAAATTATTGTTAACAATCTGTTTATCAACTACTAAAACTAAATTTTTAATGACTCATATCAATTATTACATTTATTTTAAAGAGATAAAAACTGAAAAGCCTAGTCCAGTGAATTTCAACATTACTAATTTGTAGATGCAGTATAAAATCATCTACTTTGGAGACAAATTATTCTCAAAAGAGTGTTCCTACTCTTTTTATGCTCGATTCTAACTCCATACCTATAACATTCACCTATTTACTAAGTTCTAAACTAAACTCCTCCATTCACCCAACTGCTCTCCCAAACTCTCATGAAAAACTTTTCTACTCTCACACTTTAAATATTCAACCACCAAGTCCCACCTGATCAATTTTTTTTTTTTAAATCATGAATTGGGCAGCACCTGTGGCTCAAAGGAGTAGGGCACTGGCTTCATATGCCAGAGGTGGCGGGTTCAAACACAGCCCTAGCCAAAAAAAAAAAATCATGAATCCACACAATACAAACCTGATATTCTATTCCTGTTTATGTCCATTCTGTGGGGTTTTATCTTATTTATATAAATCTAGAACTCATAAATAGCCACTTTCCTCAAAGTATACGGTTTTAGCCATACTGGTCTTTATTTCCTTTTTTTTTTTAATTTTATTTTTATTTCTTTGCTTTTTGGGGGGTGATTGTTGAGACAGATTCCCTCCCTATGCCATGAGCAGAGCACAATGGCATCATAGCTCACTGCAACCTCAGATTCAGGCTGTGGGCATCTCGCTGCCTCAGCCTCCAGAAGCTGCTGGGATTACAGTCATGAGCCACTGCACCCGGCAACACACTGGTCTTTCTTAAATTCCTCTTATTACCCAATCTTTTTTCCTCCCTCCAAGACATTTCCTACAATATGGTATTCTCTGCTGTGAATCAGCCCTCATATCTTTTTCACATATCCAATTTCTATTCACTGTTCAAACTTAGATAAAACTGTATTTCTCTTACCCCAATAATCTATACCAGCCCTGGCTCAGTGCCTGTGGCTCAAGTGGCTAAGGCGCCAGCCACATACACCTAAGGTGGCGGATTCGAATCCAGCCCAGGCCCGCCAAACAATGTTAGCTGCAACCACAACCAAAAAAAAAATAGCCAGGTGTTGTGGCAGACGCCTGTGGTCCCAGCTACTTGGGAGGCGGAGGCAGGATACTCGCTTGAGCCCAGGAGTTGGAGGTTGCTGT